CAACCGTTTGGTAGCCCACATGCTATCCCTTTAAACTTGATCTGTTTCCACAGATTGGTGGCGTTTTGCAGATGCTCAGGGTCAAGGGTCGGCGGCCTTTTTCCCTCATCTTCTGGGTCTGCCGGCATTATTCAGCGCACCAGCCCTGAACCAAGAGCAACCCCTCCTTCAGTCTCACGCAGCCAGACGCGCTCCGGTGAAAGGTGCTACATTACCTCTCATATACTCTGTGTATTTTTATTCCTAAAGGTAGTGAGCTGTTTATCTTTGTGCCCCAAACATGAAGACTGATCCATTGTATAAGCAATATAAATGGCATTTGACCCAAATACTGAGGAAGCATTGCTTTTATCCTTTTAAAATATCGATCAAAAATATACTCATATTTCATTTAACACAGACAAGTATCTATGAAAATAATGTAAAAACTGTGACAAATATGTTATTAATAAATGTCAGGAAAATGTCTTATTCTACTAAAATACAGCAGAACGCTATTCTTTTATTCAGACATATTCTGGTGTGGGGAAAACCAACCTCTGAATTTAGTACTTCAAATAAAATCAATGAAGTCATTATGCATTCTTTTTCCTGAAAATTAAGCACACATTTCACAATATTATTGATTTTACTGTATTTTTGATCACATAAATACATAAGAGACTTCATTAAAAACATTTAAAAATTGTGAACACACTTTTGACACAATTTCTACATATTATATTTATATGATATATGTATATATTACTATATATTTATTACATTTCACAGTATATGACGAGTACGTCTGCATTCAGATATTTACTGTGAAACAGTGTCTAGCCTCAGGACTGGAACAGCCTGCTGATGTTTATAGTGTTTACCTCACACTGTCACTTCGACATGTTAATAAACACATTTGAGATTTTATTTGATCTATTACATATAGATTGGCATCTATTTACACCTCTACTGTACTCGTGATGAAAACAATCCTCACTGATTTCACAGGCATCTCACATTCACTGTTTTTAGATGATTTGGAAAATGATCCTAAAGTTTAAAAGCTAGTGAGTTTCCTTGCTCTGTCTACTTATGTAAACAAAAATGATCTGCTCATTCATTTTCAGTTTATTCACGTTTACAGTACAGAGTCATGCAGTAACTAAAGATGTGTTTGTTTCATACATGATGTTTTCTGAAGCAGGACTGAATGGCTCCATCAATGGAAAGGCGAAATCAAGCTCAGCCTCCTCCACACCCTCTCCAGTCCTCATCCCTCCAGATCAGACCAAGAGCCTGAAAACCAGCCCCAAACCAGCACTAAACCAGCTAGAGGAGAAAACTAGACACAAAACAAAAGACGAGGTAAAGACTCATTAAACATGACATTTAGTCATTATTTACTCACTCTCATGTCGTTATAATAAACCGCATGTTGTTATATTTTCTAGTGGAACTCAAATGTGAGCCAGTTAATTAGCTGACTTGTGTATTGTAAATAAGCAAAGCATTGAAAGGGGGTTTAATGTTTTTCATACAGTATATATGCAGCATTCATATCAGTATGCGTTCTAAATGTTGCTGTTGACACTTTGTGTCAGAAAACATCATCCACCTTTTTTTGGGACTATTTTTAGTCTGTCATGTCAGCTGTATGGGTGGCAGAAAGGGGTTGTTTGTGTAAACAAAGCGGCCGCTGCGGTCAACTGACATTGCTCTTCCTGACAGAAGCCGCATAGCAAAGTGCCAGACGTCTCCATCAACAGCGACAGCCAATCAGCATCCAGCTCTGACAGCTCGAGCGATGCTCTTAGCAGCTCTGACTCAGACGACCTGGAGGATGTTGACGATGATGATGATGATGATCAGAGTGATGATAGTGTGGACTCAGAAAAGTGCAGAAAAGATCAGAAAGTTATCCGTAAGGTATGTGTGTCAAAATGGTTTTAATTAAAATAAAATATAAGTCTTAGACAGAAATTTGAAATGAAATAAAATAAGTTGAATTGCTAAAATGAGACAAACTGATTTACACACACACACACACACACACATTGTAAATATTATAATAGTATG